TTGATGCTTTTTTTTATAGCATACTCGTTCTATATTCTCTTGTTATATTACGTATTTTGTTGCTGCAAAAAAAATAACAGAAAGCTTCTCAATGGACAGTAAATGTCAAGATAGATTAATAGATTTACGTGTAGAGTGATATGTTTATTGTATCTTCTTCATTTCTAGTTGCAACAACTAATAACTCCAATGAATGATATGTTAACCTTGTTTTATTCTGATTGATTAAAAAAAAACTATACTTTGAAAGAAAATATTTGCTAATACTCATTATATATCATATGTAATGACAAGATTTCTGATATTACAAAACGTAAGAATGATTAAGAAAAATATGTTAATATTTTTTCGTTTGATTAAGTTGAAATGATTCTTTCTATTTCTTCTCAAATTAGACGTGTCTTATTTAATTAAAAACCATGGTAATTTTCTCCTTATTTAAAATCAACACTATATTTTATGATTATATGTTTCTTATGAGACAAAATGATATACTTTCTTTATATAATTAAGAGAATACAAGATAGAATATTGCTTTACATTCAATATGAAAAACATGTTCAAGATATGTCAGAATATTAATGAATATTTCAATAATTTCATTCTTAATATAGTTAATAAAAATTTTGATTTGTTATAATTTATTATTGAGAATTACAAAATGATAAAAAAAAAATTTTTTTATTAGTTGAATAATCAATTTCAATATATGTTTAAATATCAATATTTATTGTTGTACGTTATTTCTTATATTTGTTCTCGTTCTTTTTAAATTAGTTTAATTACTATACTTTTTCATAAGAGAAAAAAAAAGCGTTTTATCTATCCTATAACTATGCGGTATAATTAACATAGAGAAGTAGCTGATGTGTAATCATTTTCCTACTGGAAATGAACGTAAACTAAAAATGTAATAGAAAATATTTTGCAAATAGATGTATCTAGTTGAAGTCAAGATTTGTTCAAAATCATTATCGATAACAAATGATAAATAAAAATAGTACTATTTTTTGTGTAGTAAATAGTAATTAGAAAGAAGAAAACAGTCAATAATAAGTAAGAAAATTGATAACTATAAACAATGTAATAAAGCCATATGGGGAGTTTTAGAAGTGTCGAAACACGAGAAAATTGGTTTATATACAGACAGAAAATAATCCTGAGCAAAGTGTTTTTATATGAGCTTTGAGTAATCATGTGTAGTCTTTCAAATGATATATTATTCGATACTATTTTTTTTTGTTATAATAAAAAATATAAACATGAGAATGTAAAGGTAAATTGTTGACATTCAATCAACATAATTTCTTTTTGTAATAAAGTGCTAATCACAGGGAGATTGTTTTTTTTTTTGTATCTATTTTGGAACACATTTCTTCATCATCCTTTTACTTAATCCTTCAGAAATGCAATAAGGTAATAATCCATGGATATACAGACTGGTAAGGTTGCTAAGAATGTCTGTGCGGGGGCAGGGACGAGCGTCATAATTTCAACTTCTTTATCTTAACACTCTTTTGAGATGGTGTTTCACAAAGTATCATAGTAGAAACCAATAATTATTAATTTAATTCATCAGCCATCACGGCCCACTGGTTACATGTTAAACCAATCTCTGTACTCAGTAACTAGATCAAAATGAATAAAATATATGAAAATATCATATGAAAAATGAATTAAGCAAAAAACAAAGATTGTCGTTGAACTATTGAAGAATTATTTAATAATCGAATTTTACCTCGAGAAAGTAACGTTAAATTTGCTACTGTATTGGAAATGTTAAAGACGAACAATTTACAAATTTCAAATAACTAAATTGAACAAAGGAAGGAATGAAACAAAAAAAAAACGTATAACTTATAATGACTGATAAAATTTTTAAAAAGATTTAGCGAATTAATAAAAAGTGATAGTTAAACGTGATTTTTGTGTAATCAAATTAATATAAGAGTGGTTTTCGTTTATTTTTAAATAAAATATCGGACTGATCGATTACGAAATATTTATTCTCATATTTATATTTTTATTTTAATAAGAGAAGATATTATTCAATAATATATCATTTGAATTAATACACACGAGTACTCGATGCTCATATAAAAAACATTTGATTAGGGTTTATTTTCTATTTGCATTTAAACTAATTTTGTTGTACCTCAAAACTTATAAAATATTTTGTAAAAAATCGTCTGATAATCAGTTCTTATCGAAAGCATATGAACAAAACAAGTGTTTTTAGTTATACTAACGTTTTAGATTATTGAATGAACAAGAGAAGAACAGTGGAATCTATTCTAAGAAATCAACATAATGTAAGCTACAAGTGGGCGTGTCATATAAATAATTTCTATTTTGGTCTCGTAAATTCGTAATATCATTTGAGTATGATAAAAGGAAATGTAGATCTAAAATAAAATGCATTTAGCCAGCAATTCTAATCTATACTTTATATTATATAGAGTAATGGGTGTGGATTTTTTTTTTAAATTTCATTGTTAAAAATCGACGAAAACTTAAAGTTTTATCTCTGTAAAATAATAAAGTGAAACACTTTACTTATTTTTTGAAAAAATAGTTCTATAGATAAGTTACAAATAGACTAATGAAAAAGACTCATATGTTAGAGTGAACATTTTAATCATTATATCAACATAATCTAGTCTACAAAACCCTACATCAAGAGTATTACGCATTCTTTTGAAGAATCACTCCCTATTTGAGATGATATTTTTCAAAAGAAAAAAATCGTTTATTTTTTGAAGTTCGATATTTAGAAAAGAATAAAACAAGTCTTACTCTACAGACTGACATAATCAAAATATAAAAGTGATCTACAAGAAAAAAATTCTCTAAATAGGTCATATTTGATACTCGTCAACAATTCACACTCAATGAACTAACAAGTCACACAGGACTTTTATGTTTAAGTCGTATATTAAAACTATATACCAATAATCTAATATAATTCCATACCTATATAGCAGAAGTTGACTACTAATCCCAGAAATGCTTAAATGTAAAATACAATACATAAATAGATACTTGATTACCAACAGAAAAACTAATAAAGAAAAAAGACCGTATAATATTGTCTTTATGAGTTCATAACGAATGGCGATGATTTAATGAAAATTGAAAATCTCAATAAACATCTTACCGATGTGTAATACCACAATGATGATACAACATAGTGTATAATGCTTTGTTATTTTGTATTACGCTATGAATTTTTTATCGTCATGATTAAATCTTTTTTAGCAAATAATAAATGATGTTTTCTTGAATCTTTCATTCATGAATTAATGCAATGTTTAATGTAGTGAAACATTTTTCTACTTGAATAGATGTAACTATTGCCTCTACTAATCTCTAACATTCATCATTATGAAATATTTTTCTTTAGTTTTAGATGCATTGTAAAAAGTTTGTTTTATCTAATACTAAACTCATAAGATAACAGTAAAGTGCACTACATGTAGTTCATTAAAATCTCTATTATACTTTCTGTGAATTAGAACGACATAAATAAGAAGCTACAAGAATTTAATATACCTGCAGCATCTTCCAAAGAACACTTTTTCTAAAATAATATTCATTCAATATTTCATCAGACTTAGTATGTATGATGAAACCATAAAAATCTATGACAATCATGTCAACTTGTCGTTTTTCAGTGTATTTTGTTTTCTTTTGCTCATAGTCAAATACAAATAGATATATACGAGTCACTGCATGCTAAATAGGTCACCTCCATCTTTCATTTGACATTGATTCCTTACAAGATTTATTTGTACTTAATAAGTTCTTTCAGCATAGACAGATGTAAAGATGTTGACTCTTTGAACTAATCATTAATTAATTAAGCATGAAATAGCAAATATTCCTCTGACCATAAGTGAAAAAAACTTGAAAAACTTCAAGATTGATTCTACAACATGAGTCGCATCTGTGTTGAAATTTTCAGTAAAATCGGACTTAAAAAAATCTCTTTTTAAAAGCCGGTTCTTATCAAAGCCGGAAATAAAAATTTTTCTCTTATCATCATTTAGAGATTTTAAAGAAGAGTTTCTACTATTTGAAATTATTTTTAAATTTCTCATTCGGTTATAATTGCATTTCTTCGTTTTGTATATTCTTACTGTGTCACATTGCTAACGAACAAATGATTTGGCTCATATATAGTATATAGCTTCAGCTATAGAGGCATCTAGTAATCATATTAAATTGAAGTTGTGTAATTTAAAAGATAAGACCTATAGCAAAAAAAGAAAGAAAATAATTCACTGATGAATATTTTGAAAAAAAGAATCTTATAAAATTTTTATTTTAAAATAAAAAAAAATGAAATTCATTATTTAATTCGTTATAATCTATACAAATGATTTATGGAAAAATTTATGATATTTTTCTCCATTTGTTCGACATTAAAAAAAAAATCAATTATCACTTTCATCTTCAAATACCTGTTATTTGCGTTGAGAAATTCTATGGACTAAAAGTAAATTAATATTCATATTTTCTATTAAACATTGACACTATTAACGACTCATACTACAAAATTAATATATTTCAAAACCCGTAAAATCTATTTACACCTTTTTGAACATGACAAAAAAATTATATATCTAGGCAGTTATTCATCAAGAGTGATATTTTCAATGACAATAATAAAAAGAAAAGTTGATGCTGCTAGTCTTTTAATTTTCCTCTTAAAGAAATGGGGAAAAAAAAAATAATGGAGTTCTTTCACCTTTTACAGAAATAAAAATGACAAAAATTTTATTTCTGATATTTAATTATTTTTAATTGAAATTTTTTTGTTTTAGTTCATATAAAATAAAAATCACTTTTTATATAAATTGAAAATGAATCTATAAAAGAAAGAAAAAAAAGAAACGAGAAACATATCATTTTCTGTGCTTTTTTTTTGCATTTAAAAAGAAAATGCAAAAAAAAAGAACTTGTCATTCATTATCAGAACATTTTATTGTTTATATGAAATGGCTGGTCTTATATCGACAATAACAATGATGTTTGTCTTTCTTATTTTTTATGGTAAGTTTAATATTCTAACAAAAAATATCTATTTGCTCTCACTTTTAGGGAATATTGTTTCATGTACATCAAATAATACAACTCAATTTGATAATTTTACTATTGAATGGCAAGATTTTAATCTATTCAGTTGTGTTGTACCAGCAACAATTAATGTATCACTATTTACCTGTTTACCATCAGCTAGTTACACACAAGTTGATGACATCACTTGTCTCAATGTAACTCTCATTGACTATGATCAAAATATATGTCAAGTGACTACAGATACAACTGTTTATACGATTAGTACTTCAATAGGAACACAACAAACAACAACATTAACAAGTACTTATGCACAAATAGAAGTAAACAAAAATATGAAATCTTTAAAAACAAATTATTTCGAATGAAATATTTATACAATTAATAAACTTGAATAATATGAGCTCTATCTATGTAGAGGATACCGAAAATAGTGATGAAGATACTTTACTTCGTTATAAAAAGCTTAAAGAAAACTTTTTCTCTCTATAGTCTAATAGTTAAAACAATGCTCTACATTTCTCTCATATTTGATCATTCTTTAGTTAATATGACAATAATAAAATTTTCGATAAGAGTTGTTTATTATGATATGTGACATTAATACTAGATGGCATTCCATCTTATATATATATATCCTCCTTTTTATGCTCTTTTCTAGTGCTAAGTCGTCTATACATAATGCAGTATACAAAAAAAGTGGTGCCAGTAGGACCAAAAAAAATAAAAATAAATATAGAAATAAATTCATTAAGTCTTTATTTCATTAAATGTTCGAAATAATCGTTGTAGTTATTCACATGCAATTGCATTTGTTGAACCAAAAATTACATGGTATCAGAGTCAGAGAATTACTTAAGTAAAAATTTAATGAACTTGTTTCTATATGTCTTTTATGTTCAACTACCTGCACTTTTTTTCTATATCATAATATGCATGCATAGGCGGTTAGGTATTAGAAGGTACATATCACATATTACATATAAAGAAAGAAATGTCTGATGCTTCAGCTACTTATCTATTTTGCTTCGTAATACTAATATCTTTCGTACAGAGTTGGAACCGGTTGCGAAATGGTAAATCGGTTCGATCCGGCCAGTTGAAAAATCCTACCGGTTCGGGCAGGCCGGAAACCAGCCGGTTGAAATCACATGTCCAACCGGTGAAATTCCCGTAAAAACCGGCGAAAAAATGTCAACTTTTTTTGAAAACCGATTTTTAGAGAAAATGGCTACAAATATGAAATAGTTTAGGGCGCATGCAAAAGATACTCATCATGAGGAATCTTTTTAAAGAGAACCTCAAAAAAAATCATTAATATAGCATAGGTTTAGAGTACTTTTTTACGCATTTCGACAGCAAAAACATGTGATACCTTAGTGTTTATGGTCGAAAACAGGGTTAGCAAAGAAGATTGTTGGAAACTTTCAATCGGTGAAATTCCGGTCTCTACCGGCCCGGTTTACTTCTTCAGCCGGTTCGGTCTGGTGCCGGTTCCAACGCTGCCTTTGCATAGTAGACACATTTTAGGTTCTTGAACTTCACACCGATACATTATTAACTGTGAATCAACTAATAATCTGAAATATATTATCATAAGTTAACTTATCACAAATTATCGTAAAATTTAATAGCATAACGATTGTCTATGAGCGCAATGTATAACTTATTCACTATAAAATTCTATATTGATTCATATCTTATGTTAGTATAAGATCGGTTTTTCGCTAAAGTTGTTCATTGAGTGTTTTAGTTTCATTCTTAAATTTCCTAGAAAACATCTTTGTCAGTAACAAGAATATTTCATTTATAAATAATAGATCAATGATTAATCCTTTATTAATAGACTTCAATAAGCATGACAACAGTTATAACTCAATCGATAATAACAACATTGAGTATCACAAGTAAAACTTCAGCTACTACTGAAACAACGGATACGTTAATAACAACAGTTGATGCTGCTACGAATACTCTGACAACAACAACAACCACCATGAGTATCACAAGTCAAGCCTCAACTCCTAATGAAGCAACTTATACTTCAACAACAACTGTAATTAATGAAACTCTTACTTCGACTACTTCTAGTGCAGTTATTTATTTATCAACAACAACTGTATCGACAACAACTGACAAAAATACATACAGCTGTCAGGATAATTCTTACATAGGCACATATTGTAATGTATCCTCTGATGCATGTGCCATGTCACAACCGTGTGAAAATGCAGCAACTTGTATTCCAAATAATACTTTATCATTAGGATATTATTGCCAATGTCAAAGTGATTATGAAGGTTATAATTGTCAATATGATAATAGAGTATGCATGGAAAGTACATGTTGGTAAGAGACTACGATTAATAAAATTCAATTTACTATCTTCTTTTTTCTTTTTTCTCTAGGCATAATGGAACTTGTATATCAGTTAATTCAACTGTTGTATCGTCAACTTATGGGAAGAATTTTAAATGTGAATGCATTCAAGGTTATGATGGTGTTTATTGTGAACTAAGCGTTGATTTATGTGGAAATATTACATGTGAAAATGAAGGTATTTGTCAAACAGTTGAATTAGTGTGGAAATGTTTATGTGTTAATTCAAGATTTTACTATGGTGACTTTTGTCAATTTAAAACAAGTACATTAGTAATTAAAGAAATTTTAAGTAAATCATTTGCATCGATTGCAATTGGAGCTATTGCTACGACATGTGCATTTGTTATTGTTATGGATGTACTTAAATATGTTTTTCATATTGATCCAGTAGAAACTGAACGTGATAATTATCGAAAACGACGTGAAGAACAAAGACGTGCAAGACAACCAATTAAAAACAATCAATGGAAACTGGCATTAAGGTTTCAATATGTTTCATGAAAACATAACTTACATAATTCATTATATTTTATACATTACTTAGGACATACAAAAAAAAAACTAGAGACACCGATACTATAAAATCTAATAGAACGCTCGAGGAAATTTTCTTGCTACATATATGCATAGCTCAAATCGAGCTCTATAATTCTACAATATTTCATCATTCTGTAGGTGATATTATAATAGCAAAGTTTCGATGTGTTAAAGTTTGCTGTTAAATTTTCTTGTTGAGAATACACAACAAATAGCTACACATGTGCAAAAAACAAACAACATACGTGTCCTTATATCTATAAAGATGGGTGTGAGTAGGAGTCTTTTCTTCATCAAACTTGTGTCCATCCACACCCTCATTTCAAGTGACTAGGACTTTTTCGGATGCAGACTCTATGCATAGGGCAGACTCCAATGAGATTTGAAATATCCTAAAAGGACAAGTAACGTTAAACCTTTTCTTCTAAGTTGTAGCTGTTTTACTGAAATCTAAGGCTCTGACATGGTTATTTCAGCCTATGATCTTGTCCATAGATAGATCTACTTGTGACTAGAAAGTCTTGAAAAGTTCCAGCCCGACAGAATATTTTCTTCAAGAAATATTGAATTTCCAAAAAATTTAAGATTCTCGCACCCCTCACAGAATATGAGTCATTTTTAGAAATTCAATTTCGTATATTCTCAACAAGAACAGTTGAACAAAAATTAACAGCAAACTTTAACACATCGAAACTTCGGAAAATTTTCTCGAGCGTTTTTTAAGATTTTATAGTGTTGGCGTCCCACTACTTTTGGTATGCACGAAGTATTTAGTTCTACAATTAAAATAAATTGCCGTTTTCTTTTTTTCTTCAATTATTGAATTTTTTGATAAAAACAGTATCTCATCAATATAAACCATACACAATATACAGGTATAGGTTAAGCTACGTCTCATACAAAAAAAATGTATGATATGCATTTGGAGTGCAATCAGTTTGTTGATCTATAATTTTGATTGTTTTATATTTTTGCATGTTCTTATTTGATTAGTATTTTTTGCAACGATGAATGAATATCCATGTTACTTATTGTGTCATTTGACGTATATTGACATAGTATCTGTTATTTCAATAAAATTATGGCGTATATCTATAATCGAGGCTAACCAGTCTGATCGTCTGAAACGGCATCTTAAACTAACTAAAACGATGGAAAAGTAATGTGATTACTACAGGAAACGATATGCAGTATTAGGATCGTCTTTTCATCATTGAGTGTCATATTTACACCATTTTTTTGCAGTATATGGTGGATTCTCATTATTAAAATTGTAATTTAGTTAGCATCCTGCGTACACATTCTATTAGAATATTAAGTATTTCATGACATAAATAATAATCCTGAATACGAATTTATCATCAAAAGTTACATTCAAGGTAGATGTATAAAAAAAGAGACGCACACAAATGAAATCATAATACCTACTGTAAGTGAATGTAATGTCATGAAACATTTTTTTAGATAAAGCAGTTCATTACTAACGAGAACTATAATTTCAAGGTTGTATCTTTTTTAATAAGTAGCTCACCACAATCGTTTTTCGCTGGTTTTAAATGTTTACGAATTATTGTTTCGATATGCAGTAGGGATCATAATTGAAACTTGAATAAACTTCTTATTAGACATCTAGAACACAATAGTATGGGTTCTATCATCTATAGAATTTATCTATGGAAAAAAATGATGAACGAAGAATATACGAAGATGTATACATTTATTTGATTACTCGACATTAATATCATGCCAATCATAATGTAACATGACATGGAGACGTTCTTGTCGAGTGCATGCAATATCGTCAAATAGATCTCAACGAAATCTATCCATTAGTGCTTAAATTATGTCAACAAAGCTAATGACAGCTGCATATTAACTAAAATGAGTAAAGTGCATTTCAATATGAGAGAAACTCATCCACGGAATATTATAAGTTGGTTCAATTAGATATGGTAGATAAAATCATTAAGATTTATCTACTAAAAATCATTAGAAAATATCTAATGATGATTATAAGAGTTCGTTTTGAACTATTTGTGAAAATACCTTGAAAACGGGATAAAATCTGATGGTCGTAACAATGGTTATTTTCACTAGAATGTAAACGATGATCGTAGCAGATGTCGTTTATCAATGTGTTTCAGTGAAAAATGTTCATAGAAAAAGAAAACAGAAATAAAAGTATCCATCAGAATACTATCTTGTCTATGAGGGACGCATTCATAAACAACAAAAATATGTTTTATATGTTATGGAATGCATTCTTTGTCGTTCCACTCTATGAAAAAATGTTATCGTCTCAATTCAAAGTCATTCCTCATTTGTATAGAACTACGTTCTCCATTAACTATTGAAATAATTTCTCTTTTATTTCTGTTTTGCAAATTGAAGAATGAATTCTTCGAACTGATGAATACGTTCTCGTGTATTGAAAAATCAATTTTGGAAGAATAGAATGCACTTTTGTTTCGTCCGTCTCATAAGCTCAATGAAAACATATTGTTACATTGTGAAAGAATATTGATTAGCTCAAATTAGATTTTTTCATGTTCCCAAACCAATTAATGTTTTTTTTTCGCTGAATTTATTGACTAACACAGGAGCATCTTAATTATTAACATGTCTTATAAGTATCTATTTCTAATGTTGCACTTTTAGCTATCAATGTCGACACATTTTTATTTGTGATACATTGACAAAAACCATAAAAATAAACATAAAGACATGTGAAATAGATTTCAAGAACTAATAATTGATATTAATCTACAGAAAAACGATGATAAGTAAGTCAAATTTCTTTATTTCAAAACTAATTGTATTTTTTTTTCTTTTGTTCATTTCTTCTAGAATTGATCCTGATCTTCATACGCCGAAAAAAAAAATTTTATTTGAAAAAGCAAAGAAAAAGATTATCGGTTGTGGGTGAATACAAGTTTGATGAAAAAAAGGCTCACACCCTATTCAAGAAAGAATTTCAGATATGAACAAAAACATAGTTTAGAAGCTTGAGATACTTATCGTCTTGAAAATGTCTTTCCGGAAGACATTAATTGTCAACAAGAGTTTTATCTATAATCAATTTATGTAAATAATAACAATTCAAAAACAAAAAGTGTCAAAGTTAATTTATTGACGGTAAGTTCTCATCAAACAAAGAACAGAATCGCTATCTTCTACTAGAACTTCATATTAATCTTGCGATTTTCTATGTGCAATTACAAAATAAAACAGATTCTTTTCCAGTTTTTTTTTTTTGAAATTATCTTTCGAGCACTCATCGTCAGTTACGATCGAATCGTCGTGAAATAATCCAATCGAGATCAAATCATTTAACTCATGATATCTTATCGTTTAGTTTTGCATAGATGAAGATACTATAAGTTTATTTGTTGACATTCAAATAAAATAAATAATCAAAAGCGATGACAATCACACTCAATTCTCACTTTAAGAATATATTGCAATTGTAGAGACATTTCTATGTAAAGCATTTTATATAAAATACATTTTATGTGAACAAGTGGCATCAACTATTAAAATTGAAATGAAACTAAATTTCTTATTTACTATAGAATAGTGCAAAGTTACAAAATGAATATCTTCTATGACAATATCAAAATATTGCCAAAGAGCTGTTTGCAGCATCTCGGATTTCATTTTGATGCAAAATTATTATTACACATTATGATCGATGCTCCGTTTATTAAGCTATGAAAAATATACGTAATATTAATTTCTGAGATTAAAAATTAAATTCTTCAATACATGTGTGCATGCTGTCAATAATCTATTGCATAGTCTCAAAAACATTCTTGTGATCGGGTAGCAGCTTTTGATTGGAATACCTAATAGCAGACCCTAATTGTTATTTTCGTTTATCTACAATCGAAAAACAATATAAATTGGAGTATGGTTGTAACTGGAATAAAGACCTCGTCCTCACCCAAGTAAACCGGCACAAATATAATTTCTCGTGAATCTATGTACAAAACAAGCTTATCAAAGTAGCTATATAAACAGTATTCAACTGCATACATCAATCTTCATCAAGTATTCATTACAAAACAAATACTTACTTAATTTTTTTTATAGTCACTATCAAGTTAAAACTTATAGAAGAAATATGCCATTAAGTCAGCCAAATAAAAGACTTGCATCGTTTCTGTGTAATCATTGCTGTGCCTTTTTTGAACAGCTATATCATTTTGTCGATTACTACTAGGTCATTCAATACTACTGTATTCTCTTATTCACATTCTTTCTTAACAGTTTCTTTTTACATTTTGAATCGATTTTGTAAGTTCTTAGAAATAGGTGTGTACCATTTTATGATAAGTCGATCAGTGCCACTTGGTATTTTCGTCATAATAAATAGGATGAGTAATAGAAAAGAAAAGGTAAGAAATCGGCGACATTTCTGATTGGAAATAACCACGCAAAATGGTAAAACTCAATTTTTTTTGTCCAATAATGATAGATTATGTCATGTCTCATTCAATGTTCGCAGTGGAAGTAAAAAAAAAATAGAAAGCACAAAATGACTTTTTTCTTTCGAATAAAGTAAATGGATAACAAATTTCAACTCAAAACACGTCTCCCACAAAAGAAAACATTTAAATTTCCAACAATTTCTTTTTTCATCTTTTTTTTTAACAAATATAAATACATACAAAGAGTTTATATGATTTTATTCAATTCTTAATTCCAATTTATTTATTTCTAATACATCAAAATAAAAGTGATAACGATGACAACAAACTTTTCTAACATCACATTTTCAAATAAAACCGAAAATAGCACTACTGGAGTAAAAAGTAAGCAAATACAATGATTGATTATCTTTGCTTACATTATTTGTGTTCATAGATACTAAAGCTGATATGACATCGTCATACATTGGTCTTGCCTTTGGATGTACATTTGCTTTTGCATTAATGATGATTGTTTGTTTTTTATGTGTAAAAACTTTACGTTCTTCTTCCAAAGGTCAATCACAGTCACGATCACGGAACGTGCAAAAATATAATGCTCGGGAACCAGAGCGACCTAAGCCATCAATGGATTTCGTTGCCAGTATTTCTTACTCAGTTGAAAGAAGAAAACCATCGATTACGTATCCCTCTTCTATTTCGGAATTAGTTGAAATAAGGCGTACACCTAAATCACCTATGAGTCAGATAATTGCTAGAGATGAATCTACTTGTCTTCTATCAGTTTATATTGAATTTCTCGAAACATTAAATCTACATGCAGAATATTTTAACCATAAATATGATCGATGCTATTGTTCAAGACATTATTCAAACAGTAAACCGAAAACATATGTGAGTGGAGGCTATAAATATACGATTCCATGTGGATGGATACGTTTTGGTTTAAAATTTAATAGATTACCTTGTGAAAATGAAGATATTTTTAAAACTTGGCCTACATCATTCTATGGTACATCAATAGATCAACTTGAACAAATTTTATGCATGCATTTTGTACCATTTCCAGGTGATAGACTATTAAACCAAGAAATATTTTCGCCGAAGTTTTTTGATCAAGGTATTTGTTATACATCACCATCTATTCATTATACAAGTAATTTAAAAGTATGCCAAAAACATATTTTTATTTCAAAATCAAATAAAATTTATAAAGTTCAAGTTATTTTACAATGTAAACAAAAACCGAATACATTTGAAGTAAATTATGGTCAATCTGGTTTATGTAATATTATTTCAGCAAATGAAATAAAATGGAAAACTCGTACACGATCGACTATTCTACCTTATGGATTATTAATACACATGATAAAACAATAGAATAGAATGCGTATATATTCATAAAGTATGATAATCAAAACTTTATCTCGAGTTTAGTCTTCATTTTTTCTTTTGTATATAAAACTATCTAATAATCTTTGTTTAAGAGACTATTTTTAAACACAGAATAAACGTTAAAAAACTTATTTCAACATGCATAATGCTTTATATTACACATTGTCTTAAAAAAACTGTTTGCACAAGGCCTGTGTAATTATATTATGACACACGATAAATCTATTGGTATTGTAAACGATGAGATTAATCAATATATGTTTCAGTTTGTAACTTCGTGCCTTCTATTAATGCATGTCGATGATAGACTTCAATATTGCTGTTATATCTATCACATCTGTAAGAGGGGAGAGAAGTTCCAGTTTTGACTCCTATACTCAAGGATGCTCTGAGATCGCTAGGATTGGGAAGTGCATGAGTTAAAAGACCTATTGAAAGATTTTTTTATATAGTGGACCAGATCTTGGGCGAAAGTTGAGCGTTTTCTGGGAATCGGTGAGCAAAAAAACAATAAATTGTTGAAACTTCGCTGGGGAAAAATGAAAATTTCTTAAGACAGGAGGAAGGTGATCCTCCTCTAGAACAGCCCTTTTAAGTCATATTCGACAAAAATTTTCGATTTTATAATCTAGTCAGCAGTGTCACATATCCAGGAAATCTGATATACTCGACCAGTGTGCGAAGAGTCGGCACTTGCTTTCT